TAACGCTAGTATACAACTAAAAAGTGCGTAATTTTAATAAGCACAACGTTTGTTGAGTTAATTTTTTGTTAATTTGCTATTAATCTCTAGTTTCTTTACTTTAGTGTGTGCTGACTATGGTTGCCGTATGTCATTTTTCGATTGTACCGTAATTTTCCTTTAAATATACCAAAATAGATTTAAATGAAGCATGCTGAAATGTTTTTTTCCAGAAGTTTTCGGTTTTGGTAGGTTGACTGTTGAAATGAAAATTTTATAATTTTAAACCTACTCTATTACATTTTTTGGGATCAATGATGGGTGTTTGGAGGAGATACTCTTGTTTTTAATGCGTCACCATGTGATATCACAAATAATTATGAGAAAAATAACTTTTTCATTCCGATATAATTAATTCGTATTTTAAAAAGGTTTTTCTTATCCAAAATTATTCAATTGTATAAAATGCCAAATCGGGGGAAAATGCACCAAGCAGAAAAGAAATTGCCAAACTAATCACCATCGGAGGATTTAAGGAGTCCTCACAAAATCATAGGTGAATAGGAGTCTTTGCTTCTTGGGGCACCGAAATCACTTATTTAAGTAGTCCCAAAGGCACACTTTTTTTATTTATATTGAGAATGCACTTTTCTCATGCGAGCATGCTCCTTTGAGACTCTTCGCAGCCTCCCTAATAGCATCAACGCACCGTACAGGAAATCCTAATTGTGCACTCTGCGGACTTCGCTGGTATGCTGGGAACAATATTTTTGAACAATTTAATTTAGGCCCTGTGCCAATTGATAGAAAATAGAAAATTTTGACGGATCAAAGTAAAAATTTGACACTTCTCGTGGTGAATACGAACGTCAAAATTTTACCTAGCTCATGGGACAACTTCTAAGGGCCGGTTACTCAATGTCTGGTTAACACTTATCTCCGGTTAAACATAGTTATCGACGTTACCGACTCCCTGTTATATGCATGGAGTCGAAGACGTCGATAACGATGTTTAACCGCAGATTAGTGTTAACCAGACATTGAGTAACCGGCCCTAAATATGTTTACAAATAGCATTGTTTGGCGGTAATAAAGAGTTCAAATCAAAATAGAAGCTGAAAAAATGGCAAAAAAAGCGTACGTTACTTGTAAGTTATAAGATAAATGAAACTTATGCGCGAATATTTATGTATTTATTTATTCTATCTGTTTAAAGAACCACGCGGAAAGGCTTATGTTAATAAGAAGGAGGACAGAAGAGGATGCGCTGTTCAGCGGCAAAAATGCAAACTCCAACGAAGGATGGAAGTAAGTAAAATATAATATTTATGTACATATATAGTTGATTGGCAGATCTGAATGTAATTTTGCAGAAAAGCATTGGCGTCGCTTCCAATGAACAAAGACTGGATGTGCTGCAAGTCACAGTGGAATGCTCTAGTGAAGAAATACAAAAGTTTCTTTCGCTACAAAACAGGTATGGACACATCCATTTGAAGGTTAAAATTGTATTTACCAAAATGTTATTTTTACACCAGGCGAAGGAACAGGAGAAGAGGCGGTAGCAGAGGAAGCAAAAGACTGGCAGTATTTCGACGCGATGCACGAGTATGCATCGCAGAAAGACAATTACCATCCCCCCTATTTCAGCTCATCTGCAGCCCCTTCAACTTCTCGCTCATCCACATCGCGATCGAGATCGGGCACTCCACAGCTGCGCAACAGAGATGAGCGTTTTCAGAGGCTGGAGCAGCATATTATAAGACGTGACCATAAATTCGAAAGGAGAGTGGGATCTTTACTTGCGGTTTTTGGGAAAATGGTACAAACCGATTATCCCCACATAAATGTAGACAGTTTGCTCGTATCTTCCGAATCGGATGCAGACTAATGTTGAATACGAATTTGATTTTATTAGTTTGTGTAGGTTTAAGAAAAAATGAAGTGATATCTTAATTTTTTATTTAAATAATGAGTGTCATAATGATAAGGTTACCGTACATTGATAAGAATAGACTATTTCGATGGCTGAGTGGAAGATCGACCTATCTCGGCAGTCAGTTCGAAAACGCCCTATCTCAGAAAATTTTTCAACAACGCCCTACTGAATTTGGTTGAAGGATGCCGTATTTTAAAATTTGATTGAAAAACATTCTAAACACAGCTGCTGATTCAAAAACGCTCAATCTCTGCACATTCTCAATGTATTTTCGTTTGAGATAGGTAATTTTTGAACCCAATTCTGAGATAGGGTATTTTTAATCAAATTCTAAAATAGGGCATCCTTCAACCAAATTCATTTTCTGAGATAGGGCGTTTACGAACTGACTGCCGAGATAGGTCGACGTTCCACTCAGCGATTTGGTATTTTTTCCAAATTTATTTAGCCTTTTTTTATAAGAATATATTAAAAAATATCAGTTGAATGGGCTAGAAAACGGAAATTTCACTTATTAGTTTGAAACTTGGACTTATAAGTTTTTTGTTAAAGAAGAAACTATATTCTTAAAAAAAAATCTAAATAAATAAAAACAAATATCAAATAGTCTATACTTATCAATGTACATTGACTTTATCATTATGTTACTCACTATACACCTAATAAAAATAACATAAACCCACATTTCAAACTTTGAGCAAAGATTATAAAAATTCAGGAAACTATAAATAGTTTTATAATTTTTTCATAAAGTGTGAAATGTGGTTTTATGTTATTTTTATGAGATAATCGGCATACTTTTATAAAAAAAATTAATGTGCATTATATAATGAAAAGAAAACTGATCAAAATGTCGCCCTACTATTTTGTTACTCGCAGCTGTACCTACATATCCTTCATTTACTTCAATCGTGTCATAACTCAAAAAAGCAACACTTTAGATAAACGGCTTTAAAGTTTTGAATTTACATACATATGCTCCCTTAGTAAAAATTAATTCATATTTTGTTCTAGTGAGCTATTGGTAATCGGTACAGCTATGAAATTTTTACACAATATAGAAGAACAGGTAGCGGTAATTTCTGCATACTTAACTAAATTTTTGTATTTCTTTGATTATGCCACTATTGAAGTAAATGAGCGATATAGTAACAAGATTTGGTTACATACCAAAAAACATGAAGCTTCCTTGAAAAAGACTTATACGGTTTTAGGTAGAGAATGAACTTTATTTTTATTGAAGAAACTTTATTTTTATTGAAGAAACTTTATTTTTATAAGAAACAATTAATTTAATTTGAAAATAGATAAATAAATAGTCGAAACCTAACACTATGTGGCGAACTTATGATTTTATGCCACTCACTTTACATATATGTAGCATTAGATATTGAATACGTACCAAAAAATGCATGAAGCATAACAGTAATAAATAAATTATAATGTCTAAAATATGCGTTTTTGTGAAAAAATTATAAAACTTCAGTTTAGAAGGTAGAATTTTCATTTTGTAAACACGATGGAAATATTTGTTCTCTTTCTCTTAAACCGTCAACAGAATCAAAAAGTATATTTTCATTTCGGTCATTTGAGTTAAAGGTTCTTTAAATGGCGTTATTACAGGAACTGGCGAAAGTTGACACGGGTATCCCTTATCACCAAATAAATAATATCCGTTTGGTGGATAGTTGCCTTTTGCATATAAAGGGCTATTTAGAAAAACACGGGTGTCATGCACAGAACCAGGAAAACCAACGAAAACATCAGTAAATTTTGAGTCACTATTTGCGACTGCTTGCACTTGAATGGAGTAAAACTTCTTATGGTTTATATATTCATCATGTTTGTTAACAGGGCATTAGTTCTTATATGAGTTCCATCGATAGCGCCAATGAACTTGATGAATGCTTTATTTTTTGCCTTCCGGCAAAACTTTAAACCAAGTGTATCATAGTCGTTCACAGAACCATGGTTAATCAAATGCCGCAGCTTCAAAAAGTCCTCTAGCATCTTATGTATTATATTTCTCACTGTGTACCTACTGAAACCCATAAAAGCTGCTGCGACCCGGTAACTACAACCACATGCCATCCAAAATAAAAAGCAAATAACTTCATACTCGCACGACCATCCATGATGTTTTCGGGGAATTGTCTGCACAATTTTTGTAAACGTGCTGGCAGAAATCCTTAAATACATCCGAGTTTTTATTCTGTCACCAGACATAATTTCATTGATGTCCTCAGATATAACTCTCGGGTGAAGGTAAATAACTTCCTGAAAATATTCGCACAAAATTAAATACAAAAATATAACAACTTCCCACACAAGTATTACCTGGCGGCTCGCACGTTGCCTAAAGTTCTCAAGTAATATCAAATCATTAAATGAATACATTCCTTGTATTTCCATCAATATCGCCATCAGTAAAGAAAAGTATTTTCTATTCTGTTCATTTTACATATAAATTTTAACAAATTTCAGCAACACACAAAAATAGACTTTTCGCTCGAGCGTTTGTTTGGTTTTTCAACTGTCAAAATTTAACTCTGCGTTTGGCACATCAAAATTCAATTTATTTGTACACCATAGCAAATTTTTCCACCTCGTCTCACTACGGAGAAAAAAGTTACCGATTGGCACAGGCCCTTAAAAACAAAAAATAACGTAAAAAATCATTGCCGACGAACTGTTTTAAACTCTCGATAAATGTGGAATTATTTCGGTTTTCTTTTGCGAGTTAGAGACTCAAGACTAAGATAAGTACAATAAGAGACTATTTTGCGAGATGTAAGTAATCAAAACCACTTGCAACATTTATGTGTATTTTGTTGTTGCATCTCTTATCTAAAGTGTCAAAAACTGTTCTAATATTTTTCTTTTAAATCAAAGAGTACCATATTTTTTGTGAGAAGAAATTAAAAATATTTGGCATTTTAGAGACCGAATAATTTGAAAAAAGAAATCAAATCAGCTGCTCTACTGACACTAGGAGTGTACTCGTACGCCCAACTATCTAAAGTTTTAGAAAACTTTTACTGGTTTTGCGTTCTCGTGCCCAAAAAACTTGCAAAGTAGGGGAAATTGAGAGAGCAAAATCTGAAAGAGAGCTGCAAATTTCTGCTGGAAAAATTTTTCCCAGCTAAAACTTGCAAGTAAGAAAATCAGCTGATCACAAACACATGTTTGTAAATAAACAAAAGAAAATATGGCCTTTTTGAGTTATTTATTGCAAATTTTATTATTAACGCTAGTATACAACTAAAAAGTGCGTAATTTTAATAAGCACAACGTTTGTTGAGTTAATTTTTTGTTAATTTGCTATTAATCTCTAGTTTCTTTACTTTAGTGTGTGCTGACTATGGTTGCCGTATGTCATTTTTCGATTGTACCGTAATTTTCCTTTAAATATACCAAAATAGATTTAAATGAAGCATGCTGAAATGTTTTTTTCCAGAAGTTTTCGGTTTTGGTAGGTTGACTGTTGAAATGAAAATTTTATAATTTTAAACCTACTCTATTACATTTTTTGGGATCAATGATGGGTGTTTGGAGGAGATACTCTTGTTTTTAATGCGTCACCATGTGATATCACAAATAATTATGAGAAAAATAACTTTTTCATTCCGATATAATTAATTCGTATTTTAAAAAGGTTTTTCTTATCCAAAATTATTCAATTGTATAAAATGCCAAATCGGGGGAAAATGCACCAAGCAGAAAAGAAATTGCCAAACTAATCACCATCGGAGGATTTAAGGAGTCCTCACAAAATCATAGGTGAATAGGAGTCTTTGCTTCTTGGGGCACCGAAATCACTTATTTAAGTAGTCCCAAAGGCACACTTTTTTTATTTATATTGAGAATGCACTTTTCTCATGCGAGCATGCTCCTTTGAGACTCTTCGCAGCCTCCCTAATAGCATCAACGCACCGTACAGGAAATCCTAATTGTGCACTCTGCGGACTTCGCTGGTATGCTGGGAACAATATTTTTGAACAATTTAATTTAGGCCCTGTGCCAATTGATAGAAAATAGAAAATTTTGACGGATCAAAGTAAAAATTTGACACTTCTCGTGGTGAATACGAACGTCAAAATTTTACCTAGCTCATGGGACAACTTCTAAGGGCCGGTTACTCAATGTCTGGTTAACACTTATCTCCGGTTAAACATAGTTATCGACGTTACCGACTCCCTGTTATATGCATGGAGTCGAAGACGTCGATAACGATGTTTAACCGCAGATTAGTGTTAACCAGACATTGAGTAACCGGCCCTAAATATGTTTACAAATAGCATTGTTTGGCGGTAATAAAGAGTTCAAATCAAAATAGAAGCTGAAAAAATGGCAAAAAAAGCGTACGTTACTTGTAAGTTATAA